GCGGCCGAGCTCGGGTCACCGGGGAGCTCTGTCAGTGACGTGAATCAAACTCAGGATCCTCCTCTGGATCTGCTTGGTCCTCACCCCGTAGATGATAGGGTTGAGCACGGCGGGCACCAGGATGTAGATGTTGCCCATGATGATGTGGACCAGCGGAGCCAGGTCCTTCCCAAACCTGTGCACCACGGACAGCCCGATCAGGGGCACGTAGAAGGCCAGCACCACGCAGATGTGGGCGATGCAGGTGCTGAACACCTTGAGCCGCTCCCTCCAGGCCGCGAGGCGCAGGACAGCCTTAAGGATGAGCAGGTAGGAGAGGCAGATGAGGACGGCGTCCAGCCCCATGACCAGCAGGATGGCGGTGAGCCCGTACACCACGCTGGGGGTGGTGTTGGCGCAGGCCAGGTTCATCACGTCCTGGTGCAGGCAGAAGGAGTGGGACAGCACGCGGGGGCCGCAGAAGGGCAGGGGCAGGAGGAGCAGCGGCAGCGGCAGGAAGAAGAGCACGCCCCTGGCCACGGCCAGCAGCCCGATCTTGGCCGTGGCGCCGTTGGTGAGGACGGCGGCGTGCCGCAGCGGGTGGCAGATGGCCACGTAGCGGTCCACGGCCATGGCCAGCAGCACGGTGGACTCGACGGCCGAGAGCGTGTGGATGAGGAACATCTGGAGCAGGCAGGCGGCGAAGCTGATCTCCCGGCTGCCGAACCAGTAGAAGCAGAGGATGCGCGGCACGGTGGCCGTGGCCAGCGCCAGGTCGATGGCGGCCAGCATGCAGAGGAAGAAGTACATGGGCGCGTGCAGGCTGGGCTCGGCGCGCACCACCAGCAGCACGGCGCCGTTGGCCAGCACCGCCAGCGCGTAGGCCGAGCACAGCGGGATGGCCATCCAGGACTGCGCCGCCTCCAGCCCCGGCAGGCTGGCCAGCACGAAGGACGGGCTGAGCTCAGAGCTGTTGGAGAAGGGCATGGCCCTCAGGGCCAGGGCCGCTCATGCTACGCCCGGGCACTTCCTGCTGCAAGGGAAGCGAAAACTTTTTAGCAGCCCTTTCCCATGGCTTGGGATCCCTCAGGGCCTTTCCTGGCATCCTCAGAGCTGCCACGCCGGTGCCGAGAGCTCCTCTCCCGCTTTTTTACCCCCTTATGGCTCTATGCAACAACATATGCAGTGACAAAATGCTGACATTTCAGTTCGAACGGGAATTGCCTGAATTCTCTAAAAGGCAGAACACCATAAAATCAACCTTTTGAATAGTAAACCCATCAGCTGAACTTGTTTGCTTTTCTCTTTAAAGGACAAAATTAAAAATTATAACAAAAAGCCTGGCAGATTTTTAGTGCTTTCTGTAATACTTCAGTGCTGCTTGATTTTTTCCATATGTGCTGTGGCCTGTCAGAAATGTGCTCAGTGAGGCTGAAGCTGGCAGTGCTGCCTCCCACGACCCAGCCCTCCCCAGAACAGCTCACAGGCACAGGCAGACATGGAGCTTTCAAATGTTTTTGCACATACAAATTGGATTTTCATCCTATGAAAAACATGTATGGAAAAAGCAGAATATCTGCAGGAAAAAAGAATCGGATTATTCACCTTATTCTGTATCTGTAGATTTTCCAGGAGTGCTGTGATCCAAGGATAGTGGCCTGAAGATACATAAAAGGCTTTGCTTTAGGTCCCTTTCTATTTTCAGGCACCAAGCCAGTACCTGTGCTGAAATAAACCCACCGTCCCTCCTGCCCTGGATGGGCAGCACAAGGTCAAGCTCAGCCTGAGCTTTCTGGTTATTCCTTTCGTGCCCAATCTGTGCAAATCAACGATGCAAAGTGGCTTTATGGCAAGCTCTGCAGGTTATTAATGGAGTTATTTTATAAGTAATGTTGGGCTGCGAAACATGGGGTTTTTATTGCACATCTGTGCTGAAGGCCTAAAATAGCATCAGGCTTTGTTCTCCTGCTGTGGGGCTTTTCCATCTTGGATGTATAACGAGTAGGACTCACATTGTAGCTTTTTATACCCAATTTACACACAGTGTGGGAGGAACTGTTGCTGTCACTGTGCCTAAAATCTATTCCAGGGATGGCGTTGTCAGCCAAGTGCGTGAATTAAGACACAAACGGAACGAACGAGGAGAATCAGTAATCACCAACAGGTCCTGAGGCACCTCAGCTGCCAGCCCTGACGGGATTACCTGAGTCTCACGGGAAAAGTCCTGCCCTCCTGATCATTTCCCTGAGGGAATGGGGCTGTGAGACAGGCACTGAGACAGCCCCTGATGCTTCAGTTCTCTCTAATTCTCTGGCACTGAAAAATGTAGGCAGGTTTTCATAAGCAGCTCAGGATTTGGGATTGCTGGTGGGTAGGGCAGGTGCTGAGAGGGCCTGGATTTCTGCAGAGGTGGAAACTGGATCCGTGTCTTTGAAACACCAGTCAATGCAGGTTTATTTTCCTAGGGGGACCCAAGCAGCACCCCAGCAGTAAATCACAGAATCACAGAATCACTGAGGTTGGAAATCCAGGATCATTGAGTCCAACCTTTGACCAATCCCCACCTCATCAAAGAACCATGGAATGGTTTGGGCTGGGAGGAACCTCAAAGCTCATCCCATCCCACCCCAGCCATGGCAGGGACACCTCCCACTGTACCAGGCTGCTCCAGCCCCAGTGTCCAGCCTGGCCTTGGGCACTGCCAGGGATCCAGGGGAATCTGAGAATTCCATCCCAGCCCTGCCCACCCTGCCAGGGAACAATTCCCAATTCCCAATCTCCCACCCAGCCCTGCCCTCTGGCAGTGGGAGCCATTCCCTGGGTGCTGTCCCTCCATCCTTGTCCCCAGTCCCTCTGCAGCTCTCCTGGAGCCCCTCCAGGCCCTGGCAGGGCTCTGAGCTCTCCCTGGAACTTCTCTTCTCTGGACCAAACAACCCCATCTCTCTCATCTTTCTTCTCCTTCTTTCTACTTCTCTGCCTCTCCCTCTTTCCCTTCCCCTTCCTCTCCCCTCCAACTTTCATCTCTCCCTCCTTCATTCCCCCTCCACCCTGCTCTCCAGCTGTGCTGACAGATGTGCTGATAAATCCCCCACACTTTGCCCTCCAAGTCCCCCACAACCATTTTCTTACTGTGGCAGAGGCTCCTCGGGCTTTTTGTTTCGGAGCCGTTTTGGAGAACAGCTGCAGCCAGGAAACACGGACATCCAGGGGTGAACTCTGGAAGTTTTCAGAATGGGAGCAGACTCAGAATCCTCTCAGAACCCTCAATCATCAATTTCAGACTCCCGTGTGAGGATGCTGCAAGCCAGGCATCTCCACAGCAAAGCTCTTTGTTCTGTTCTCGTCTGTAAATTTTTCCTGCAAGCTCCAGTTTGGATCAGAGGTATTTCAGCAGAGCTCTCCCCTTCCCCAGTGGCAGTGGGACCTGCTCCCCAGGCTGAGCTCCTGGGGGCTGTTGGTGTCTCACCCTGGGCTAGGGGCCCTGGGACACAGCGAGATAATGAGCACAACACAGAGCAAGCAGTGGCCTGGGAATCCTCCCCTCAGGAATCCTCCCTGCCCTCTTTCTGCTTTTTTATGGAGCTGTTTCCGCTCCATTATTTTTTCCTCTCAATTTTTTTCTCTCCAGCTACTGCACGGAATAGAAAGTCTGATCTGGGCTGGTGAAGAACTCAGTGTCAGGCAAAACCAGGACAGTTCAGGGCTGGGATCCTGTCCCCATGCCTTTGCTGCTTCATCCCTCCAAAGTAAACACTGACTGCTGCTTCCTCTTCTCCACCGTGCTCAAGACTGGCCAAAATGTGGTTTGAGACCAACAGAACTGCAGCTCTGCCATTTGGAGGAGTGAAATATTTACAACTGGATGTGGCTCTCGGTGCTGTGGTGTGAGTGACAAGGTGGGCAATCAGTCACAGGTCTGCGAGGGCTTTTCCAGCCCTGGTGGTTCTGTGGTTCTGTTCTGTGATTTTGGGACATTTGATTCTGTCTGTGGGAGCCAGGAGAACCATGACACTTTCTGCCTGCCTGGCTCACACCCAGCCTCCAGCAGAGCAAGGAGGTGCTGGGACGTGCTGCATCTGCCACCCCTGGATGCCCCTGGGGATCTCTTCCCAGCCCGCTGAGGGGCACAGCCAGCACCAGCAGAGCTCTGATGGAAGGCAGCAGCACGTGGGCCCCAGTGTCAGGAGGCTGAGCCATTCCTACAAAGTTTTTGAACTCCCCTCTTTTTTTGCAAGAGAGCTTCCAGCCCCACCAGACCCCCAGGCCCATCCAGAGACACACCTGGCTCATCCAGTCCTGCTCATCTGCAGCACACCCTGAAGATTTCAGGCAGCTCCAGCCTAATCTTTCTGCATCATATCGACAGAAAAAAGGCCTCCTCAAATCCTGTGACCTTTCACATCACAGAGCTGGATTTTATTGCAGATGCTGCACATATGTGGCATTCAATGCAGGACAATGGCTGGGACATTAATTAGACTTGGCAAGCTGGTAAGACTCAAAGACTTCCAAAAGCAGTGCACAAGCAGCTGGTTTGTCACTGGGGATGGACACGGCACTCCGGACAACTGGATGATGGCTGAGCATGATTTTCAAGGACTGAGAGTGCTCTGGGCCCCTCAACAAGGCCTAATGAGAAATGCTCTGTGCAGGAGGGGAGGAAAGCACCATGCTAGGACATAACATGGAAGCTCACAGCTCTGGGCTGGGGGACAGCATCCCAGTGGATCTGCAGTTATTTCCTCTGGCAGTGACCTGCATGGATGGAGCAGCAAGAGAGCAGTCCACCAGCTCTGACTGGGAAACCAGGCCAAGAGCTCTGACCAAGGAACCGGTCCCAGGGTCTGACAGAGAGCCCAGTCCAGAGGTCTGACAGAGAGCCCAGTCCAGAGGTCTGACAGAGAGCCCAGTCCAGAGGTCTGACAGAGAACCCAGTCCAGAGGTCTGACAGAGAGCCCAGTCCAGAGGTCTGACAGAGAGCCCAGCCCATCAGCACTTTCTGGCAGAACTGGTGGAGGAAACTACCAGTCAGACCCACGCTTCCTGCACAGGGCCCTGAGCAAAGCCTCCCGGATGTGGGTGGATTTTATGCTGTAGATAACGGGGTTGAGAGCAGGGGGAATGATGAGGTAGGTGTAGGCCACCAAGGTGTTAACGAGAGGAGGAACGTTCTTCCCAAAGCGATGGATCATGGACAGTGCGATCATGGGGATGAAGAACACGAGGACAGCACAGATGTGGGAGACACAGGTGTTCAAAGCCTTCAGACACTCCTCCTTGGTGGTGAGGCTGACCACGGTTCTGATGATGAGGACGTAGGACAGCACGATGAAGATGAAGTCCATCCCCACCGTGGATAAGAGAACGATCATCCCGTAGAAGACGTTGACCTTTATATCCGCACAGGCCAGGTTCATGATGTCGGGATGGAAGCAGAAGGAGTGGGACAGCTCGGTCTTGCCGCAGTAGGTCAGTCTCTTGAGCAGGAAGGGGATGGGGAGCAGCGAGACCATCCCCCTCAGCACAATGGCCAGGCCTATCTTTAGGACAGTGCTCTTGGTCAGGATGGCCGGGTGTCTCAGGGGGTGGGAGATGGCGATGAAGCGGTCGAAGGCCATGGCCAGGAGCACGGAGGACTCGATGAAGGACAGGATGTGGATGAAGTACATCTGAGCGAGGCAGGCGTCGAAGCCAATGCTGCGCACGTCGAACCAAAAGAGGCCCAGCGTGGTGGGCAGGGTGCAGAGAGCCAAGCCCAGGTCGGTGACTGCCAGCATGGACAGGAAGTAGTACATGGGCTCGTGGAGGCTGGGGGTCCTCCTGATGATGAACAGGATGGCGCAGTTCCCCAGCAGAGCAGCAAGGTAGAGCGCACAGAAGGGGATGGAGATCCAGGGGTGAAGGGCTTCCAGGCCCGGGATGCCCATCATGAGGAAAGCTGAAGGCTGATGGAAGGAGCCATTGAATTCCCACGGGGCGTGTGAGTCATGCTCCATCCCAGCTCAGCTCTCACATGGCCTAGACCTAAAACAAACCAACAACACAAGCTCCACGTAGCTGCACTCTGCCTGAACAGGGGAGCTGCACAGCCCTCCACCTCCCCACCAGCCTCTGCAGGGATGCCTGTGCTGTTGGGAACAGTGTCACATGCAGCTACACCCCTGTTCACCCATTAAATCCTAAACTGAAGGAAAAGGATGGACAGTTTTTGTTGAAAAAGAGGAGAAAAAAAAAAGAAATACTTGAAATGCTTTAGAATGAAAAGGAAAACATTCCACTATTCCACAGTTGTCCCCAAATTCCAGAGTTTGAGATGCTCTGTGGACTGAGCAAATGCCTTTTCCAGGCTCATCCCAACCACGACCAAGCTGCTAAACCAAGGCTGCTTTTTTATGCCAACTGGAGATCAAAAGGTGTGAAAATTGTGAAAGTTTAACCCTGACATTTCTTATTTAGGAAACCAGCCCTGGAAACAAATGCAGAATTTGTTGGCATTGGCACTGGCACAGGCTGCCCGGAGAAGCTGTGGCTACCCCATCCCTGTGAGTGTTTAACTCCGGGCCAGTGGAAGCTGTCCCTGCCCGTGGAGCTGTGGAACAGGAGGGGCTTTGAGCCCTCCCTGCCTGAACCAGCCTGGGATTCCATGAGTTGCAGCAGAGCAGAGAATCAGCTGCTCAGACCCTCCTGCTCTCAGCTCGGAGGATGGGTCCCAGGGCAAGGTAGATTTTCAGTGCTACTCACACGCAAGGCCTGCTCTTTTCACAATCTTACTGCCAGGTGGAGGGGAATAAATGAGGAAAACCCCACACGGACACAGGCTCTGTGTGGTGCCTGGGACACCTGAGAACAGCCAAAGCACAGGGCAGAGCACAGGGCAGAGCACAGGGCAGAGCACAAGGCAAACACAAGATGCTCCAGGTTCAGAGCCCTGGGAGGATCCTGGGAAAGGCCCTGGGGACGAGTGGAGGGGGCACAGGGGATATGGGGGGTGTTTTACACCAGGATCCAGAGGAGAGGGCAGGGAGGACTTGGCAGAGACCCGGCAGTGTCTGCCCCAGTTCAGCAGGATGTCAGTGGGACAGGTGGAATGAGAGATCCAGGAAAGAGGCTTGCTCAGCCTCGAGAAGAGAAGCCTTGAAGGGATCCTGCTCCAAGGAGGTACCACGGACACTGGGCCAGGATCTTCACAGCAGAGCATGGAAGAAGGATGGGAGGCAGCAGGTGGAAGTTCACACGAGGGTGGCTGAGACTGAATTAAATGAGAAATGTTTCCCCATCAAGCATTGGAGCAGGTTGCTCAGAGGCTGCACATCTCCATGCACAGAAGTTTTCAGGATCCAACTGGGCAAAGCCATGAGAAGTCCCAGCTGGTCCTGCATGAGGCAGGTGTTGGACCAGAGATCTTCAGAAGTCTCTCCAACATGAATTATCCAATGAACCTCCGAGCCTTGGCACAATCCAGTTTCCTACATTTCCTGTGACAATGCTGGAGAGGCTGGCAGGGTCCCTGAGCCCCTCAGTGACAGAGTGATCTGCTGGGTGGGTGGGGGAAAGCAGCAAATGTGCAAGAAGAGGTCACTAATGCAAAAGAATATTTGTGACTTCTGTCTTCCTTCACCTTCCACAGGATACAGAACTCAGGCCACAGTGTGTCTGCATAAGAGCCAGAGGGTTTGCTGTAACACAGCTCATCTTTGATTAACAGACAATTCTTCCATGACGTATTTTTTAGGGTCCTAATACGATTTTCTTCATTAGATCTCAGCTTGGGAGTCTGATGTGACAATAAATCCTGAGCTTAGCAAGGACAAACATCTTCCTGCTCTGGGGCAAAAGCAGCACATAACTGATGGGATGGGGGAAAACCCCAAATCATTTGATTTCCTCCAGGCGGGGCAGAGCCAGGTGATGGCATCAGAGCCACCTTGCCCTGCAGCCCCGCTGTGCCAGGTGCTGAAGGGAGAATCTCAGCTCTCAGCCCTGCCTCAGGAGAGCCTGGGCAGCACAGGGGGGCTTGGCCATGGGTGGGCAGCTGCTGCATCCCCCGATGCTCCACACAGCCTGGTGCTACCATGGGAAACTGCCCATGGGCACCTCTGGTCCTCGCTGCTGGCTCAGAGCTCCCCAAAGGTACGAGTTGCCCCTTTCTGCCAGTGCATCAGCACCTGGAGGGTGGGCAGCCCTGGCACAGCTGCCCAGAGCAGCTGGGGCTGCCCTGGATCCCTGGCAGTGCCCAAGGCCAGGTTGGACACTGGGGCTGGAGCAGCCTGGGACAGTGGGAGGTGTCCCTGCCATGGCTGGGGTGGCCCTGGATGAGCTTTGAGGTCCCTTTTTACTCAGACCATTCCAGGATTCTGCTACCTGAGCAGTGAATTCAATCTGCTGACTCCTGTAGCTCAGTCACATCTGGGGCCTGGGTTAAAAACCTAAAAAGTCTGAGTGTGTGCAGGCCTGTGTCCCTGAGCACAGCCTCTGGCAGGCATCCAGAGCTCTCAGAGACACTGAGATTCAACAGCTCTCCAGGAGAATGGAGGTGCACAAAGAGACTGTTAGAGCACCAAGCAGATGGACTGGTGAGAACTCCCTGGGTCTCTAGGAGATGTCTCACTTGTAAGAAAACTTTCCCTCAAACCTGACTTTGTCCAACACCAGCAGCTCCCACCACAGCACAGAAGTCACTCAGAAACAGGATTGATTCACTCTGCTCCCCCTTGAGCTGCTCTGGTTTGTTATGTGCCCCAACATGTTACAGATACAGATTCCACTCCCAGACGGTTTTACCCCTCTGTGTTCCATGTGTGTCTGTAAGGGATGTGTGTACATATACACACATATAATCTGTGAAATGTATAAACAACCAGGCAGGTATGTTTATGTGCGTTTCTGTGTGTGTGGGTAACACAGCTCAGCTTACAGCAGGCATGTGTCTGTCACAGAACCACAGAGCCACAAAACCAGGGCAGAAAAGATCTCCTGGCTGCCTGTCACGGCGTGGCAATTGCACCTTTCTTGTGCAGCCAAGCCCTGAGGAGGGAGCAAAGCTCCCATTCCTGGAGGATGCCAAGCTGAAGATGGGTGGCAGCCCTGGGAAGTGGCTGCTGAGCCGTCCAGCCATGGCCAGGGTGTCTCCTGCCCAGTGCCCGAGGTGCTCCTGCTCCCCAGCAGCAGCCCAGCCTGCCTGGGAGAAGAGGCCAGGCACCAGAACCCTCACGGAGGACACGGCGTCATCCCTTCTCATGCCTTTAAATCCACCTCCTGCCTTTCTGCCTGTGTCTGCCTTTGGTGTTCACCAGGAACTCCAAATGCTGGTGTTTGAAGCGCCCTTGTCAGCGAGGGTGGGCGCAGGGCCTTGGGCCGGGGCTGGGCGGGCAGGGGCTCACACCTCTGCTTCTCCCCGAGAGGAGAGCCTGCTCTTTCCCAGGAGCATTGCTGCCCACCCAGGCTCCGAGCGAGGCTCAGCGAGGGCAGCAGGTCAGCAGGGACCCCAGGGGCATCGCTGCCCACCCAGGCACCGAGCGAGGCTCAGCGAGGGCAGCAGGTCAGCAGGGACCCCGGGAGCATCGCTGCCCACCCAGGCACCGAGCGAAGCTCAGTGAGGGCAGCAGGTCAGCAGGGACCCCGGGAGCATCGCTGCCCACCCAGGCACTGAGCGAGGGTCAGTGAGGGCAGCAGGTCAGCAGGGACCCCGGGAGCCAGGTCCCGAGAGCCCCGCTGCCTGCTGACAGGAGGCCAGGCCAGCGACCACGGCCAGGGCCGTGCCCACGCTGAGCCGGCCCCGAGGAGCGGGAGAGCAGCTGGGGCTCACACCAAGCCATGGGCACCCCCGATGGCTCCACAGCAGATGCCAACAGCCCCTCCCTCCACACACCCCGCCCGCGGCCACCACGAGCCACGGGGACCACCCGAGTGGCACTGGGGCCACGGGGACCACTGTGCCACTGTGCCACCAAAGGGGCAGCACTGGGCACAGCTCCCACCCATGTCACTGTGCCACCACAGCTCCCCCCCTTGTCACTGTGCCACCAAAGCGGCTCAGGGAGCCAAACTGGGCACAACTCCCACCTGTATCACTGGGCCAGCACAGCTCCCACCCATGTCACTGTGCCACCACAGCTCCCACCCGTGTCACTGTGCCACCACAGCTCCCACCCATGTCACTGTGCCACCACAGCTCCCACCCATGTCGCTGTGCCACCAAAGCGGCTCAGGGAGCCAAACTGGGCACAGCTCCCACCTGTATCACTGGGCCAGCACAGCTCCCACCCGTGTCACTGTGCCACCACAGCTCCCACCCGTGTCACTGTGCCACCACAGGGGCTCGGGAGCTGCCTGCACTTACCGAGGGTGCCGGGGTTCTGGGGCCAGCGCAGGCTCAGCCGTGTCGAGCAGCAGAGGAAGATCCCATGTCCGTGCCCGTGCCCGTGCCCCTGCCCGTGCCTGTGCCCGTGCCCGTGCCCGTGGCCAGAGGCTGCCCTTATAACGCTGACCCTGCCCAATCACCCGAGCCGTGAGCCCCGGCTCCCGTGCGCAAACAGCGGGAGGAGTGTGTGCAGTAAATGAGCATTTCCATTTGTGCTGCTCTCCCAGCAGGCAGGATTTTCTCCTGATAGTTTATTGGTGACATGTTTATGGCTCCCGGTGATTTATGGCTGGCACTGCTGTAGCCACAGTGCTGGCAATACACATAATTTTTATTGGGAGGGTAAATCTGTAGTGGAAGTCATAAATTTTGCAACAGGAGTGCTTGCAGCATCGCTCCGAGGGAATGACAGAGAGGAAGTTCTGGCTGTTTCCCCTTGACCAGTGAGATACCAAATGTTTAATTAAAATCATAATATATTGCACATAAAAACAAACTGGATGTCACAAAGGCAAACACAGCCCCAGGTGTCCCCTCGGGCGGCCCAGGAGCCGCCTGTGTCAAGATGTCTTGTGGCAATAAGTTCATCTTTGCTCCCTCAGCTGTGGGGTGGAAACGGAATTTAACCACTGAACCAGGCCAGGGAGAGCAAACGGGTTTGTCTCACGTGAGGTGTCTGCAGAAAATGCAGCCTCTGGCCCTGAAAGACACTGCTGCAGCTTAAACCCATCTGTGCTGGGGCACTGCCCTCCATGGGCACCGGGAAATTCACAGAATCCCGGGATCACGGACACTGGAGAAGTGTCCAAGGCCACTGAGACCAGCCTGTGCCCGAGCCCCACCTTGTGC